TCCCAGTCAGTGTGACAAAAAAGACCAAGTCAAATGCAGCAGATGTGGTGGAAGCCACTCCTCTGCCTATGCCGGTTGTGATACCATTACAGAAGAAAAGAAAATTCAAGAAGTTAGAGTAACCTACAACATATCCTATGCTGAGGCAGCAAAGTCCATCCGTACAGACATCACTGCCCATGCTGAAAAGCCTGACACACCTTCTTCAGCACCAAAATTGAAAACCTGGACTCCAAACAAAACATGTGCGAACACACAAAATACACAAATGTACATGTCAGCAGTGAACAAAGAAGACAGAATCTGCAACCGTCGTCCAAAAGAGAGATTTCTACTCAAACCGAAGATGTATCAGCAGCTAGCCAAACTGAGCCTATCTCACCATGTTTGCTGGCAGATAACTCGCTAATAGAACTACTTATTGGAACACTTCAAATCTGGGAGTCAACTAAAAATAAAGAAAGTAGGGAATCAGAAATAAAGTCTCTCTTTGATCACTTATTCCATCAATCAACCAAAACACAGCAGGCATCAGACAAAGAGAGAAAACGTAATGCTCACACACAATCCTCAAGCACTGGTACATCCCCGCAGGGGACACAAAGGAAATCCTCTCAGTCCAAACGAAACAGAGAGGAGCCCCTTCTAAGTCCACACAACCTGAAACTTCAAATCAGCATTGAAAACATCCAATCGGTCAAAAGGGGTAAATCTTATCCTCATGGTCTTTATCTTACAATGGAATGCACAATCACTTATTGCACACGGAAATGAACTCAAGCATGCTATAAATGACTGGAACGACAAACCTGATATAATTTGTATACAAGATAAATGGCTTGAAGAAAGTAAGAATTTCAATCTTCCTGGATATAACATTTACAGATTGGACAGGAAACCTGACCTTAAATCCTGTGGCGGGGGATGTGCTATTTTTACCAAAAAAGCCCTTGTTGTTCAAAATATTGCTGACAAAAATTCCCTTTTCCAGTATCAAGTCCTTGAAATGTATAATAGTGATAAAAGTAAATTAAAAATTATTAAGCTTACAACCCTTGTCTCACTTTGAAGGACGATTCCTTAACCGACATCGAAAATCATATAAGTAAGAACACTATTATTTGTGGAGACTTTAACAGCCACAACTCCCTCTGGGGAAGTAAAATGACAGATGGAAACGGTAATATCATTGAAAATGTTATGGACAAACACAATCTTGTCTGTGTTAATAGTGGAAACGGCACTAGAATTAACACCTCCAATGGTACTACTTGCATTGACATTACTATCACCTCTCCAGATCTCACAGCCAAGAGTAACTGGACTACCTTAGATGATACTTGGGGAAGCGACCACTATCCTATCATTATTGAATTTAATCAAAAATGCCAGTACACTTCCAAAAACTATAACTCACGTTGGTCCACCAAAAGAGCCAACTGGGATGCCTTTCAACGAGCGTGTGATAACCATATTACTGAACCAAGCATTAATATTAATGCTGAAGATGCTTATAATGAGTACATTGAGCAACTTACTGAGGCTATCAATCATTCCATTCCACGTACAGTTTCTCATAAAAAGAACAAAAAGATATCTACTTCATGGTGGAATGATGACTGTAAAAAAGCTGTTGAAAACCGGAAAAAAGCCCTTAAATTGTTAAGGAAAACCTGTTGCCCTAAAGACCTTATAGCTTACAAACGTACCTGTGCTATTGTTCGTAAAACTATTAAAACTGCTAAAAGAGATGATTGGAAAAGTTTTTGTGATACCTTGAACTCCCAAACTCCTTCCAAAAAGATTTGAGACAAAATTCATCATATTAACAATACGCATACTAAGGTTAACATGTCAGTCTTAAAAGACAGTGATAAAGAGTTTATCTCTGATGAAGATAAAGCTAACTTACTTGCTCAAAGTTTTGCTTCTATCAGTAATGATCAAAATTACAGTACCACGTTTTTAAAAAATAAACAAACTGCTGAAAATAATTTTCACCTTAATGATGATAGTGAGAATGTTATTTATGAACCTTTTACTATGTCTGAACTGGAAACTGCCATTGATGCAGCAAAGTGTACCTCTCCAGGTAAAGATGGTATTGGCAATGACA